GGGTGTAGGGGCTGGGGGAGGTTACAGAGATAGGGAGGGGGTGTAGCAGCTGGAGGAGGTTACAGAGATAGGGAGGGGGTGTAGGGGCTGGGGGAGGTGACAGAGATAGGGAGGGGGGTGTAGGGGCTGGAGGGGGTTACAGAGATAAGGAGGGGGTGTAGGGGCTGGAGGGGGTTACAGAGATAGGGAGGGGGTGGAGGGGCTGGAGGGGGTGTAGGGGCTGGAGGGGGTTACAGAGATAAGGAGGGGGTGTAGGGGCTGGAGGGGGTTACAGAGATAGGGAGGGGGTGTAGGGGCTGGAGGGGGAGAGAGGGAGAGCGTTGCGAACTCCCAGCCAGCGGTGCGTTCCCCGGGAATGATGCCGTTCCGTACTTACAGCATCTGTCCGCTCCCAGGGAGGCCTGCGGCTGGCCTGTGGTGATGGTCGCTGGGTGCAGGCGGAGCGAGACAGTTGCAGCCCCGGTCTGATGCCCCACCTTCAGGGTGAGGGGAGGGCGTGCCGTGCCCCAACGGAGACCCATCGCGCTCAGGACCTTGTGTGCGGCGTCCGTGTCGGGGCGCCTGATCCCCACGGTGGGGCCTGTCCGACCCGTGTTGCGATCCACCATGCCCAAGAAAGGGCGCGTGCCACCCATGTTGCGATACGGAGGGTCCACGCTGGCACGTGCTGTTCCTATGTTGTGACGCGCGCTCAAAGAGGTGCCAGCTGGGGGCGCACTCGGCAAAGTGGTGGATGGCACAGCATTGGCTGATGTTTGGCCTGTGGAGGGTGGGGGACAAAAGGCAGGTTAAGGCCTGAGGCCGTCTGGGCAAGGAGAGGGGACCACCCGGAATGGCTTCCCTCCCAACCCTCCGACAGTGCCCGCTCCCTCAGCGCTGACCCTCCGACAGTGCCCGCTCCCTCAGCGCTGACCCTCTGACAGTGCGGCGCTCCCTCAGCGCTGACCCTCCGACAGTGCCCGCTCCCTCCGCAATGCCCTACCATTAGTGTCACAGCTGAGGTTGCTGATGTCCAGGTAAGTCTTTCCCTCCAGTACTTCAATGACGAGTGCAAGAGCTTCGGAGCTCATCGCTGTGCGATTCCATGTGTGTGTTTGGTTGATCAAGTATTTGAGAGATTTTCTACAGTTATAGTGCAGCGGGTGAACCAGAATGTCAGCTCCAATCGCCTGTACAACACGCATACACACACACACACACACACACACACACACACACACACACGCCCGCACACACGCCCGCCCGCACACACGCACACACACAGGCACACGCCCGCACACACACACACACGCACAGGCACACGCCCGCACACACAGGCACACGCACACACAGGCACACGCCCGCACACACACAGGCACAGGCACACGCCCGCACACACACACACACACAGGCACACGCCCGCGCGCACACACACACACACAGGCACACGCCCGCGCACACACAGGCACACACACGCCCGCACGCGCGCGCACACACACACACACACACGTCCGCGCACACACACACACACGCCCGTGCACACACACACACACGCCCGTGCACACACACACACACACAGGCACACACACACGCCCGCGCGCACACACACGCGCACACACACACACACACACACAGGCACACGCCCGCACACAGACACAGGCAC